AGTGGCATGTGCTCCGGTTGTATTGTAAACAATGACGTCGTCTATATTGCTTATCAATTTGAGCCCGATTGAGACACAGAGGATATTAGTGAAGAGGATCGCGTGGAACCTGTGTAAGCACGGCTTTTAATGGTAGGCCTAAGAGTTTTGTTTGTTGTTGTCTCATACTTTTAGATACACTGTTATTTGTAAATGCTACTGCTTCTGTTAGCTTTTAATATACGGTTTTATTCTGATTAAAGCTTTAATACAGTTCGGCAGGGAAGTAACTCGTTGTAGTCCCTTACCAGTCGTTTTTGTAGGCATTAAACTGCCAGAATTTTAAAAGACGATATCTCCGTTTGCATTGAACTTTCAGCTTCGTAACTTTGCAGATATTGTTTATGATCAAACAGCAACATTACACACTAATTAACATTAAAAAAGTGAAATTGCAATCAACCACCCCTTTAAGATTTGTACTCATGGAAATTACTAAAGTAGTCAAACCTGTTCATTAGAAGGGGGTGTCCCAATACTTTTGGCAATATAGTGTGCAAGCCAACCTAGCTAATCAAAATCTTTTTCTGCAATTTAATAATATTGACCTATTACTTTTGCTATTGCTTTTGTCCAGTAGGTATCAGTAACATAATTTATTCAGAACCTTTTCTATGGACATAGACTTTCTGTACCACACTATTCTGCTGATAAGGAATGAGTTTGACTACTTAATCAGTTATATTAACAGAAATGCTTCACTGGGGCAAACAAAATAAAATAAAATAAAATAAAATAGGATACCCCATAGCAGCATTTCCAGCAGTATCCAACATTTCTCAATCATGATCTTACTCAGCTAAATGTCCCTATTAGCTTAACAGCTGTAATCCTTGTTTGCTAGCTACCTATGCACATACAGCATACAATGTTAAAAATGTTCTACATTATGAACCTTAAACCAAAAACCTTTAGCTTCATACACTGTAGATAATTGTGACCCTGCCTGTGGAAACTCAGCTAAAGTTTTATTATTATTATTTTTTAAACAGTTGATGAGTAATTCACTCCTTGATTTGCTTAATAAAAGCCTCCTTTAAGATCATTTTGACAGACATGTTTATTGTGTATTATTTTCAACGTGTTTATTGCTAAGTTTAGTGTGGCAAAATATAAGCGAAGCCGTAATTCGCATGCGGTGTATCTGGTTGCCATGACGCGCTTCCTGCTGCTGCTCTGTGTAATCAGAGTGTGAATTTGTAGATTTTCTATAGCAAAACTAAAATGTGTTTAAAAGTGCGACTGACCAAATCGTCCGGCTCGGTGTGCTCCCCTCGAACTCGAAGATATCTTCTCTAATTTGACAGTTTACCATCTGATCTCACTCAGTGACTCTAGGCTACATAGGACGGGACAACCCTTGCAGTGAATGGGGTGAGATAATTTTGCCGGAAATGCAGAAATAAGCCGTAATTTTTTTTATTTGTAACTCTTTGGTAGATACATTTATAATTTCTATTACATTACTACTACTACTACTACTGTTACTACTAATAAATCAGATCTCTGGGGGCCCCAAAAGTGTGTGGGCCCTTAGAATCATCCTAACTTTCCCCCCTTTAGCGGCGCCCCTGCTCGTACATCACGCGCAGATCGCGCGCACAGAATCATTCAGCGCGGAAATGTATTGTCAACACTGTTCTGTGATTTCTCAATAAAATAGCTTAGAAACTGAAAAGTTCAAGCATATATTTCTTAATAACTATTCCCACAGCTTCACTACTAGTAATGCATTCATATGAATGTAATCTTTACTGTGCTACTTTATCTGTATCTGATTTAGAACGAGCAGAAATCTGTGA